GGACTGAGAAGAGGAAGAAGAAGAACTCTCTCTCTCTCATGTGTCAGGTACTTACCTGTGAAGATGGCGCTGTGCTGCAGGTACTTCGAAAACGAAGCTGGAGCAACGGCGCTGCAGGTAAGTATCCCTGGCCTCCGCCCAATCTCTCTCTCTCTAGCACTACTCTAGCTATGGCGCCCAGCGCTGAAGACTACTGCTAACGCGACAAAGCGCCCAGCGCTGAAGACTACTGCTAGCGCTAATGCTACTCCTGCAGCGCTCCTCCAGAGTGCTGCTGCCAAATCCTGAAGACTACCTCCTGCCTCCTGAACTGCACGTGAAGTGCCTGGGAAGTACCTATGAACTACCTCCCAACTACCTGCAGCCTTCAGGGCGGGCCAGTCTTATATAGTGCTGGCCCGTCCAGGAGGCTGCTCTTGCCAATGTCAAAACGTGCCAGACCCTGGGGTTGAAGCTCAAATAAAGGTTGTCTTGAAAATAGGCCAAAAATGGCCTGAGCTAAAACCCTGGTCTGGTGCCTGAGTTTCAGGGCAGGTCGACCTGATGAGGGCCTGAAAATGGCCCTCAGTTTCAGGCTGAAAATACTCAGGGCCGGAAAGGCCCTGATTTAGCCTGAAACGACACAGGGCCTGTAGGCCCACGTTTTCAGGCTGAAACGACACGGGGCCTGTAGGCCCTTGTTTTCAGGCATTCAGGCTGAAACTGACACGGGGCCTGTAGGCTCTTGTTTTCAGGCTTTCAGGCTGAAACTGACACGGGGCCTGTAGGCCCTTGTTTTCCGGCTTTCAGGCTGAAACTGACACGGGGCCTGTAGGCCCTTGTTTTCAGGCTTTTGGCCTGAAAACGTCACGGGCCTGGAAATGGCCCGTGCAGCCTGTTGCAGGTGCAGCATGTAACAAGGCAGCATGCTGGCGCTTTCTGCATTGTGCGCCAGGCTTGCTCAGGTGGCATGCTGACGTGGCGCTACTATTGGTCTACATTGCATGCTGATGTGGTGCTACCTATGGTCTACATTGCATGCTGATGTGGCGCTACCTCTGGCCTACATTGCATGCTGATGTGGTGCTACCTCTGGTCTACATTGCATGCTGATGTGGCGCTACCTATGGTCTACATTGCATGCTGATGTGGCGCTACCTCTGGTCTACATTGCATGCTGNCTGATGTGGCGCTACCTATGGTCTACATTGCATGCTGATGTGGCGCTACCTCTGGTCTACATTGCATGCTGATGTGGCGCTACCTATGGTCTACAATGCATACTGACGTGGTGCTGCCTCTGGTTTACGGTGCATGCTGATGTGGCGCTGCCACTGGTCTTCATTGATGATGTGGCATATGGCACCTATCTTGACTGCTGACGTGGCACTGTCCACGCTGTCCACATGAGGTGATTGGTTGCATGGAGGAGGAAGATCGGGATCTGTGGATGAAGGAGGTCGGGTACTCACCTGAGGTTGACGCCGTCACTGGAATCTGCTATGTCTTCATGGTCTTCACGAGATAAAGTGCCACGTGGCACTATTGTGTGTGATCAGGAATATACTTATTATCATTGTTGACGCGGAGAGGGAAGAAGCCTAGAGAAGGAGAGGGGACTGAAGGGATTATTACTGTGTGATCTCTCATCTTCTCCTTTGTCTATTTCCCCTCCACTCTCTTCTTTTGATGGTAAGGAGATACTGTTTGAGTTATCACTTCACGATTTGGAGACTTTGATGCAGGTAATAAGATTACTGATATTTGACGACTTCTGGTATCGGAGCAACTTCTTCATCGCAATCGGTTGTCTGTTGTCAGGTGCGGACGTGGCACCCAGGTAAGTGGGAAGTGCCGCATGTGCAAAGCGCACAGTATATACCGCAAGTCTAGACATTGTAGTATTGCACGTGCGAGCAGGTGTCCCTTGAAGATGATGATGTGGCTGCACTGAAGATTTCAAGATGCCGGCAAGAGCTTCGTTGGCAATGTGTTGACGTGGCGCTGGTGCAGAGAGAGATTGGTATCGCTGATGTGGCACATTGTTTATGTGGTATGTAGGGCATGGTCTGACGTGGCACATACCTTTGTCATTATTGCTGGCTGATTGATGTGATGACATAGTATGTTGGTGTTGACTGTATGACAGACCTGCATTGCTGACGTGGCATCCCTCCTAATAGAACTTTCAGGTCCTTGTTGTTGACGTGGCAGAAGTGCTGCGTTGGCATGCCAGGGGTGACACGTGGCATGCAAAGACTGTGCACTTGTTGTTGGGGGTCACATTGTTCTGCAGATGATAAAGTAGAAGCTAACCATTGATTGTATTGTTGTGTTGGCTTTTCTACTTACCTGTCCTGTTCTGTGGATGCTGTGTGTACTCACAAGTGTGTTGTTGTCTTGATCACATTGGTCGTGGCTGCGGTACCAGTAGCTGTAGGAAGTCATCACACAGAAAACAGTAGTAAAGTTAGGATAGAAAAGTTGATTGAGAACTCATTTCTTTTGTTGTTATTCTTGCTGTAGAAAGAGCGTGTGCTGTGGAATTTATTTTTGTCTTTTGATTTTATTTATTATGCGGCATCTACACGCGTAGGAAAATGAACTCCCTCTGGAAATGTCTGTGTGCCTCTATCTTGA